CGCATGTCTCTACCCCGTGGCTCGACAATTTTCAAGACATCCGGGTTGATGATGCAGGGGATACTGTTGGTCTGTAGTTGAAAAGGGGTGAATCTCGTCGGTTCATGAGGGGTGGCCCGATTAGTCCTCATAATTTGGTATACAATCTCGGGTCAGGGACACATGTCGCAACAAGGTTCTACGCAGCGCCGCCTTTATCATTCGATTCACATTTTTTGTGAGTCCGTTGGATTGAGAAGCATGTGGCGTAGTGTGTCAGAGACCAACGCCTCTCTGTGTCAGCAACTCTTTTACTTCAGCCTTGAACTCAAACCCATTGTCGACTAAGTTTTCTTCTGTATCTATATGGGTATTCAGGTATCGGTCGATGTAGGTAGCCATTTATGAGGCCTTACTTGTCTTACATGGTTGAACCTCTATATACTTTAAAAAGTAATCAATTAAAACCAATAAAATCGATTATTGGCAACTCTTAGGTGCAAGTGGCACATCGATATCTGTTATGTTCATACTGACACGCTGAAAAGGACGCTCAACTTTCGTCGGTACTATGGTGTTTGGCTCGCGGATCGGTGCTCGATCCGCGGAACAGACCAGACAATTTTCGACCACGTGCTTCACATCTCCGCGAATATTAGACCACATCATCGATTACGATCGATAGTTACTTCTCTGACACGTATCACAAAATAAGCGGCTTGCTTCTTGTGAGCGGATCGAGTCCATTCATACCATTGAAACGGATGTGGAACCGTCAACCATAATCCTAATCCATTTATTTTACACTTATCTAGATGGTCGTTGATCTATCGGTAGTCCCGAGATCTCTTGGTTGTCCGACGTCTGTCATGTTTTGTGTAGCTATCTAGCGATTTACCAGCTAATTTTATCATCAAGATTTTGTTCGTCCAGACTTCAGCTCGCTGATATTTTTCGTCATACGCGAGTCCGTCAGTTCTAGCGGCTTCGAATCGAGCTTATGCTGTAAGTTCATCGGTCCGACGAAGAGGAAATTTCCGTACCTTGCTAACCGTCCGATATCAAATACAGGCGCCATGCGCACGATTGAGACACGTGGCGCAATCTACCTAGTCGACAAATCCTGACTTGTGAGGATATCAATCTACTCGGTAAACTCGAAAAATACACGTTCAAAAATGACAAATTTATTAGGAAGGTCCGAAAAGAACGAGGGATCGGGGATTCACAAAGGGGTGGAGTAAGCAGGGGGAGAAAGGCGGGCAGCCATTGCTCACGAATGAAAGTTTAATGCTTCTATAAAATCTCCACCTCACCATACGTAGGCTTGTTCTTCAACTCTGAATCATTCCACAGGATCACTTCTTCACTCGCTGGAACTTTGTAAGGCTGATGCAGACGTGTCAGTCCGTCGGCATTCCCGTGTCGCTCGTGCTTTCAGTGGCGGATGTCAAATTCCATGCTCTGCAACATGGTCGCTCATCGTCCTTCTTCAAGGCTAGAAGTGGCTTATGGTCGGTTACCAGAGTGAACTTACGACCGTATAAGTACGCTCGGAAGTGGTTGATTCCCCATAAAGCAGCAAAGCATTCCCCTGCTGACGCCGAGTAGTTCCTCTTGTAGGTGGGTATGGTCTTAAAAGCATATTCCACCATGTGTTCCAGCCTGTCTGGTCCCACATGGACCAAAATCGTTGAGATCGCCTCAAGGTGCCAATCGGTAGTCAGGATAAAAGGTTCTTCTGGGTCCAGCCTGATAAGAATTGGAGTGGAAATCAGGGTCGCCTTCAACTTCCAAAATGTCTGATTGCATTAGGCATTCCAAATCAACGGCTGATCTTTCTTCAGCAGATTTGTGAGAGGTCCTGCAATTATCGCAAAACCCTTGATGAACCTTCTATAGTACGAGGCTAGTCCCAAAAACGTGCGAACTTGAGTAAGCGACGTTGGTACCGGTGTCGGGAAACCCGGGGAGGTGGGGGTCTGCCGCTGCTGTAGCCAGGGGCAACAGCATTTGTCACCCGCCCGTTTCCGAGGAGCAGACAAGTGGGTTTCAGATTGCATGTCACACCCCCCACTTTGGAGCGCGCGTCGGAACTCACTCTTCAATAGCAGAAATAAATTAAATTAAAAACTTAAATAAATTAAATTATAGTCTGCGTGGTGACCACTGCATCAGCACGCTGTTCCTTTCAGTGTCACTAGTGTTTCATATCTTCTGAACAGCGAATTTGTGGACAACACCAGTTGACTGAATACCTGATTACTATGGGGGGGGGGGGGGGGGGGGTTCAATCTTTTAATAGAGTCCTGGTGCAGTACTCGGGTTTTGAATGTTGCCTGTATACTTGGCGATTATCGAGAGCTCAAACCACATTCACCTTTCAAATCCACCCGTCCAGGTAATGATCAACGAGTCCCTGATTCCACAATGAGCGTTATGAAACTGGCTTGCCAGCGAACTGCCAGTATTGTTCGGCCAATGAACAAGAAGTGTTTGTCCTCTAAATGAGCAACAGTTTTCATATCTGCCTATCAACAGTGAATGTCGGGTCTTCCAATGAGCAGCGGATCAGCCAATGGGCAAGGGTCTGCCAATTGGCAGAGAAGGTCTGATCTTCAAATGAGCAGGGGGTGTCAGACCCATCAACGAGCAGCGGGAGTATGATCAGCCAATGGGCAAGGGTTTTCTGATCTCCCAATGAGCAAGGGTTCTCTGATCTTCCAATTGGCAGCGAAGGTCTGATCTTCAAATCAGCAGCGGGTGTTTGACCCATCAATGAGCAGCGGGAGTATAATCAGCCAATGAGCACGGTTTTTTTTATCTCCCAATGGGCAAGGGTTCTCTGGTCTGCCAATTGGTAGCGAATGTCTGGTCTTCAAATGAGCAGTGGGTGTCTGACCTGTCAATGAGCAACGGGAGTAGATCAGCCAATGAGCAAGGGTTTTCTGATCTGCCAATGAGCGAGGGTTTTCTGATCTGCCGATTGGCAGCGAATGTCTGGTCAATTCTTTTTCCAAACCCATCTGTCAGCCCTCTCTCACTCCTGGGGCACATTTTCTCTCTCTCGTGCACGCACATGCACTCGTGTTACACTCTGCACTCTCTCCTCCATATCTCGCTTGCTGGCTCACACACTGTTTTGGGCCTTCACGTCCTGTCCTCGTCCGTACTTAGAGCCAGGTGGACTAACTCGGGCGAGAAAAAAGACATGCACGCTGTCTCACTTACTCGTTATTTCCCCCCTGCTCTCTCCCAATCACTTCTTCTCTCATCAGAGCTCATGTGCTCTCTCTCTCTCTCTCTCTCTCTCTCTCTCTCTCTCTCTCTCTCTCTCTCTCTCTCTCTCTCTCTCTCTCTCTCTCTCTCTCAGGAACGCATCCACTCACTCTCTCGCTCCCTCTTACTCTCTCTCTCTCTCTCTCTCTGTCTCGCACACTCTCTTTCTCTCAAGGTCATACACTCACACATACACACACGCTAGCATGCTCTGCCAATCACCCTCTCGCTCACGCACGTCTTCTCTCAGTCTCTCTCTCCCCTCTCTTTGTCACTCTCTCTACTCTCACTTACTCACTCCGGAGCGGGGCGCGCACTGTGGCGTCCCTCATAGCAGATTGTACATCAGCTAAACCCGAAGTCTGCATGCTGCCACAAACGGGCACGACCAACGATGAAGGAAGTCAACTCACCTCTTAGCTGCAGCCCGCTTGCTCGCGTGAACAGACACAAACCAACACCATCTCCACTGCGGAGTCCTGGTTTGTTGTTCCCTCTGAGGGTTGTGGACACCTGGTGCCTTCTCCCCCTTGCTTTCCCGTTCCGAATTGATCCCCTCCGTGTGTTCCATACAGCTTTATTCCAGTTGCAGCAACCAGCGCCCACGGCCTCAATTGAAGCTGGGGAAGCTGGCTGCCCGCTGGCTGCTTGGTACCACGGCACTGCCGGTACAACGCTGGCCCAAGCCTCAACTCTGGAAATATGGGACCCAGCTGTGTCATTTCCGATGCCGCAGGCCTCATGAAGACCCCTGGCCCTGAATAAGCCCGATGAGGCCTCAAAAATTTCCCCAGTCGGTGTGGAAAATGACCCAAGTAGCCACTGAATGAAGCTAGACCACAAAACTGGTCACCACAATCGTCAAAGACGGTGACGAAATGAACAGCTGATGTAACCAACAAATAATCTGATGTCGTCGAGTCGTCACTGCCATGGAAACCGAGGCCCCTTATGCATTTTTCTTTTGTTTTTGTTTCATTTCGAATCTCTTTATTTCTTTCTGCTTTTTCCTAGGCTACCATAGTGGCCCGGGGCCACTTGCCCGGCCGGGCCAAAAAAAAATAATTTTTTTTTTTTAACTTTTATTTTAAATTTGGCGAAGAATTTCCATGTGACTCTGAGGCAAAAGTTGTTCAGTTTATTTTCCTGCATAACATAGTTTTTTTTCGGATTTTGTTTTTTTTTGTTTTTGCTAGGACCTTCCCTGGTCCTTGCATGGGCGGGCCGTCCAGGAAAATAGGGTGATCCGGGCGGCCCGGCTGGTAGCCTAGTTTTTTTCTCTTTTCCTTTCTTTTTTTTTTTTGAAAAATCAGCCAGCGGGAGTTCATTCGCCCGACCCCCTAAAGACGCGGCGCGTTAACGGCCGCGGCTTTTTTTTTGTAGCTGGTAGAGGTACTGGTGGTTTGGTCAATTATAAAAACAAGAGGAATGCCCGCCGCGACAGCTATGAATCTCCTTATTGTACATTCTACTCACTCAACTACCTCTAATGCGCATGTCAAACTTGGAACTAGAGCTCAAGTATTCAAGATCGCGGGAAGGGATCTGCGTAAACGTTCAAGTGCGAAACCAGACAAAATTTCGCTTGGAATCACTGACCAAACTGTAGAAGATTGGGAAAAATCAGTGAGTGGAAAAGGCACTCCCACGCATTAATCCACATTACTCACACGGATGGGAGCTGCGCGGGGCCCTTCTTGTTATTATTGATTCCTATCATTACATTCCAATACTACCAACTGACCGATCAAAGATATTCATTTTCCAACTGTTGAGTTACAATGCAGCAGACAGGCAATGACGATACCGTGTGCCGAAGAAAGAAACAATGGAACAGACGTAATGCGTAAAGAAGAAAGAAACAATGGGACAGACAACCTGCAGCAAATAACACAAGCCCAATCGCATTGCACAGCAGAAGGCACTGGAACGGGACAAAAAGAATTTGAAAGATGATGCCGAAGAAGGAAGCACTCTGTTAGGTCACAGATTTCAGTCGCTCATTATCGACACCCCCCCGCCTTCCCCCCCTCCCCTCATCCATTGAAAAGGGCTCCCCTTTCTTCGACCCTATATACAAATGTCACGTATGTTCTTCTCGGCTACTACTGCCAATGCAGTAGTTAAACTCACAAGCTGAGAGGCTGTCCTCGTCAGAGAGTCGTCCTCTGCATCCTCTGCATCCTCTGCGTTTCTGCCAAATATCCACCACAACCTGGTGCAATTCAGCGCCCCTTCGTCCTGCCCGATGTGCCTGTGACTGCCTGAGCCGTTCCCCTCTGAGTGGTGGTACCCCGCGGTTGCACCCCTCTTCTTCCAGCAATGCCGTTCTCCTTCCCCCGCCATCCCTCACTGCCACCTATTCCCCACCTCCTCAGCTCGTGTCCTTCGCGCACATGCCTGTCGCTCAACGCCCTCCCCACTGACTGCGACCTCCCTCTTTGTCTCCAGCCCAAGCCCCTGTGTCGGTCCAAACTAACAGTGATTTTTGTCGCATCCCATTCCTCATCGCCTAATCTCCACAATCGCAGGAGTTCCCTGTCCCACGGATCGTATGGGACTACCTCTCCTTTGTACAACCGCGCCTTCTGCCATGCCTCCATCTCCCACGGTTGAAACTGCTTGCTTTCGTCAAACTCCTCTTCTTGCTCCAGCAAGACGCTGTTTCCATTCTTCCCTTTCGTTCTCCGCGTCCCCTCTCCGTCTCTGTCCCCTTCCTTGCCTTCAGCAGCCATCTCTGCAGCCTTCTTCTTTGCCACCTTTCGGGCAGAAATGCGTGCATATATGGCACTGGATACCGGCTTCTTTCGGGCAAGAAGCGCTTGTGTGGACCCATGAAAGTGTTGGAGCCTGCAAACGCCCAGGGCTTGAGAATGGGCAAAAAGACCGCCATCCTCGTAACGATACCGGGACAGGAAGTCAGCACCCGTTTTGGGCCAATCAGACGAGCAAGCATTCACCCGAACCCATCTGGTCAGTTGTCTCTGAGGGCTACACGTCTGTTCTCGTGAGGGCGGTTCATTACCATCCACTATCGTCCCCACAACCCCACCACCATTGTTGGTTGGCCCGAGTCTGGCAAGGGTCCACGAACGCTGCTCTACCCGAGAAGTCGCTCTGGAGATCATCTGGCGGTCCCGACAACAACAGAGCAGTTGGGATCCTGCTGCTCTGCGGATGTGGTCATATCCTCTGCGACCAAGCCGGTGCATTGCAAAACCGTACCAAACAGTCCTACACTTCTGCTTTCTTCTCTTCGCGTGCACTGCACACCCTTCTCCCTGCGCGAAAAACCTCCCTAACTATTTAGCACGAAACTCGTCAAGACTACCTGCATGACGGCTGAATGGTACACACATACAACTGTTTGATACAGAGATCAACACTTCAAACTGCTTCAACTATGACAACGTCGGGGGCTACCCTACACGCATTTACAGCCGGAAAAAGGAAGCGAAGCTTGCCAAGAGAACAGCAAGCAGTTCCAATCCTACTCCGCATCCGCGAACGTGCCGATATCCTCCCGTGCAACCAAGCCGCTGCATTGTGAAATTGCGCAGAAAGTTCTGCTGCCTGTTCGCTCCCTCTTCTGCTGTCGCGCTCACCTTTCTCCTCGCAGTCGAATCCTCCTCCTCCCTATTACTACCCCTAAATCGAGGAAACCTGTTGACTATGGCAACAAACAGTGGCAACTGCTACACGTAAAGTGGTTCAAGGACCTGAACATCTTCTTCGTAACCAGACGTAGTCTTGTTGTTCCGTAGACATCACATCAGCCAACAACTGCCATCAACACCGGTTACGGACACTTGACTCCTGGCACTTGGAGGTAACTGCTGTAAGCCCGACCAACGGGAGCGAAGCATAGTGCAGTGCCTCAGGCTTGCTTGCTTTGCTTTGGCGCGATAAACTCGCACTGGGCTGGGTCTCACCAACTTCTCCAACCTGAAAAGCAATGTGGGCCACACTCAGAATTGCAACCATGGAAAAGAAAAGAAAAAAGATTGACAGAGCTTTATAGACTGCAAAAAGAAATTACATTTCTACAAGAGTAGTCAGGGCGCGGCTCCGCTCCGCCCGCGTTACAAACGGATATTGATGAAAGTGACATTAGTGTGTATGAAACCTCCAATAGGATTTGGACGCTGGAACCGAAAAATGGGGGTTGGCAGGTTAAAAAAAAAAAAAAAACTTTGGTCCATCGTTTGCAAACGAACAGAGATAAGAAACAGTGGTGGTTTAGCCTTTAGGTCTTTGAGATGAAGAGTTTCCCCCCTGTACGCCCCAACAAAAAGACATAGCCTGAGTAGACAACAGTGGAGTAGAGTAGCGTAGAGTAGGAGAGTAGAGAGTAGACAACGGAGAGTAGCTGAGAGTAGAGAGTAGAGTACAGGGTAGAGAAGAGTAGAGCGTAGAGTAGAGTGGAATAGAGAATAGAGAGTAGAATAGAGTGGAACAGAGTAAAGAGTAGAGTAGACTGGAATAGAGAGTAGAGTGGATTAGAGTATTTAAGTGCAGATATAGTGTACAGTAGAGTAGAAAGAAGACAGTAGAGAAGAGAGTTAGAGAGCAGTGTAAAGTAGCTAGTAGAGAGTAAAGCCGATAAGAATTTAGCATCGAGTGATGGCGAGTACAGCGTACAGAGTAGCATAGAGTAGAGTAGATAGTAGGTACAGTAGAGTAGAGAGAGCGGCAAAGTAGAGAGTACTGTAGTGTAGAGAGTACAGAGTAGTGTAGAGTAGAGAGTTTAGTGTAGAGTTGAGTCGAGAGTAGACAGTAGCATGGGTAGAGAAGAAAGTACAGTCTAGACAGTAGGGTAAGGTAGAGAGAGTACTAGAGTGAGTAGAATAGAGTGAGTAGAGAGTAGAGCATGGACAGCAGAGCAGAGAACACATTGGAGAGCAGACAGCAGTGAGCAGCGTAGAAAACAGAGTAGAGTGCAGAGAGTAGGGAGCACGGCAGCGAGGACAGGAGAGAGCAGAGAGTAGAGAGTAGCATAGAGTCGAGAGTAGAGCATAGACAGTTCAAAGTAGAAAACAGAGAGTGGCATAGAGTTGGGGGTGGAGAGTACAGTACAGTACAGTACAGTACAGTAGAGCACCATACTCTACTCTCTACTCTACTTTCTTCTCTACTGTACAGTACAGTACAGTAGAGCAGAAAGTAGACAGTAGAGTGGAAAGCAGAGCAGCATAGAGGGCCTCACTGAGACAACTAGCATTGATTACTACTCACCGAGAGAAAAAGGCACGCTGGCCATCTACGGGCTCAGTTTGCCCAGTTGTTTTCCCTGGGCATAGGGCCTCCCCACACTACTCAGAGACCAAATTCACAGACGAAAAAGGTTACGGCAGTGCAACTTCGCAGCTTTTAGTGAAAGAAGATTCATTCTCATTTTGCACATTTGGTGAACAGTGCAGCAAGGCCCATACAGACCACTTGACTTTTTCAACTTCCCTGTGGTCGTAATTCCAGTCAGGTGCATCCGGGCCGGGCCGTACAAAAGGCCAGATGCGTCCGGGAAAGTCCTCATGGGACTTTTTCAACTCACCTGATGGAACGTCGGGCAGCAAAAAAGGTCAGCTGCGTCCAGGAAAGTGCTCACTTGAGTATGCCCTGAGCCTACCGTCTTCACCCGAATACAAAGCCCAGTCATTATAGCCATATTTGGTGCACTTTTCAGTCCAGATGCAGCTATAATAACCGGGCGTTCTATTCGGGTGAAGACGGTAGCGCTCAGGCTCCACCGCGCAGCTGCTCTTTCCTTCCCCCCCCCCCC